TAAGCTGTATATCTTCTCTACTCGTTCTTCGTCATCAGAATCATCTGAAGAAAAATATGAAATGCGTTATAAAAACGAACAATACTCATGCTTGGTACTTTTTGGGAACATGAACTTGTAAATTTTTAGGTAATATTAGACAACGGCGGAGGTGGTGTAGTGACAAGTGGCGCGCTTACCACTCGCGCGGTCCCGGGTTCGAATCCCGGGTCGACTCCCGCCCAGGCCAACCAAGCCTTCCCTCCGGGGACGGTAAATTGGTACCAGATTCGTCTGGGAGGATAAAACACTGACTTGTACATCGGCTGGCCCCGCAAGTCATTGTATAGGCCACATCGCATTCAATAAGCCACTACGATTCTGAATGGAAGTAGAATGCGTGCCGCATCCCACAAAGGGATTGATTAACGGCGAAGACTTTATCCTTTATTCGGCAAACATATCTTTGCGCTTTCACACACTTGGAATATACGACTATATATACAATTTGAGTGGTGGGTGGTGTAGTGGCATGTGGCACGCTTACACCCTCCCGGTCCGGATGTCAAATCCTAGGTCCGCTCCCGCCTAGGTAAACCAACAAAAACTATCGAAAATGAATGGACAGATTCCATTTCACACGTGCCGTTAAACGGAAATCGAGCAAAAATATTCTACCCTCTGTACTCTTCAGGGAGGAAGGGAGGAAAGTTCAAAAAATTGAGAAATTTCATGAAAAACAAAGATGAAAATGACGGAAATCACGGCGGTTAAGAGGGGTAAATATGCAAAAAGTTCGACACGTGGTTATGACATCGTGACTACGAAAACAGTCTGTTAGATAATGTTATATCAGTAAAGTCCACTGGAGGCAACTGTTGCGCAACCAAGATGCATGGTTATCAAAACTCGTGAATTAGGGAACTATTCCCTATAAACCGTGCAATCCTAGTTGAGTCGTTAAAGTAAATCAGAATATTGCTCGGGTAACTGTGGATCTCGAGGAGACACAGAAAGTAACTCAAACCACAACTATTTATGCCGATGTTGCAAGAAGAAAAAAGCTGGAGAGAACAAATCTGTTAGTTTCAACGCACTCGTGGCGAAGGGGAAATTCCCAATGAAAGTTACACTATTGACGATCGACTGACATCTTCCCATCAACCTGGGGAGATGTGCTGTATGCAAATGATACAGCGATAGAAATCCATCAGATCAAGCGCGATCACTTTCTTCTTGGGAATCCCAAACGAAGATGTGCCCTGGTTGGCTGGACTCTGTTCCATCTGATGTATTTACCCATCTTTCAATTTCGCCACTTGCGAAGACACATCAAAGGGAATATCACAAGTATTAAACCAGACACTCGGGTGGAGGTGGTATAGTGGCAAGTGGAACGCTCACGATCGGAGGTCGATTAGCAGATTGGCTCCCGCCCAGGCCAACCCACCTTTCAACCTTCCGGGGACGAAGAATTGGTATCAGATTCGTCTCGAACGATAAAACCGCTGGGGCCGGGGATTTTCCCCAGTAAATCTCCCTCTCTGCTGTTATCTCTATCAATGCCCCTCGTCTCTCTGCTTCTGCCTCTCTGCATCTATGTCTCCCCCACTCTCGCGGAATCTCCCCCAACGACATTCGCTGGGGAGAGGGGAGCATATCGATTATACTCTGCGCTGCACTATATTCGCACAGAGCATGCGCCAAAAGAGTATGGATGCAGAGCGGGAGAGCGAGGGGCATCAGTAGAGATGATGGCAGAGAGTGGAGGTTCATAAGGAGATATCTCCCTTGGAGGGGAGTATAGCATACGGCCCCTGGTCTGTACATCGCCTGGCCCCCGCAAGTCATGTATAGGCTACACATTAAGTAAGCCACTACGATTCTAAAAAGAAACAGAAGCCTATCATGAAAGATAGTTCCACTGACCTGCCGCAACCATATTTTGTCCAGTCTGTATCTGAGGTGGGTAGTAAAGTCCAACCATTTGGTATAGACGGTAATTCACAAAACCAAGCATAGCAACATAGAACTCAGCAAATGTCACCTGAATAGAAAACCGTGCCTATGTTGAACAAGAAATCTTTCGCATCTGAATTGCTGCTACCATAATCCGCGCGTTTGGCTCAGTTTCGAAACTTTCATTCCCACGTTATGCCGCCTCGAGCACTACCCACGTGATGTGCCTTCCATCAGCTCCATCGCACTGGCTCAACCGCTTAGCATAACCGACACACTTCGCGCGCGCACCTAAAATCTTGTAGGAAAGGGTCCATGCAACGGCCTGGGTTACAGTA